GTTATTCTAAGCTGAATTGGGGCTTTTAATATTTCTTAGATAAAAAGAATGTTACAATCTAGATTTTTTGTTATTGTAATATTTTGACCCACTGTCAGATCCTGTATTTTATTCTTCAAATATCCTCAGAGTTTTCTCACTTCTAAATAGTAGCTTATTCCTTTGTTAGAAAAGTACTTAGGCCTTTAGTTTAAAGGTACAGATCAAATGAATTTTTCCCTGATTTTCCAGCCAGAATGAAACATTTCCTCTATGAAAATGCTACAGCAGCCAATGAATTTAAACTCTACCACTCTTTTTTTTTTTTTTGGCAGTGCCACGTGGCTTGTGGGATCTTTGTATAATAGGGGTTCAATACCTGTTAGTTAAATAAATAAAAGTTGCATTGAAATCACAAACCATTTAAAAAATTCTATTATATCATGGCTGAAACTGTTACCAAGTCCAAGTTCGTACTGCTCACTGCACAGGCCAATAAATTGAGAGATGAGTTGTCGGGGCAAGGAATAACAACCTTAATCAGAAAGCCAGAAGACCAAGAAGATGGTGGACTCCTGTACCAAAGAACCATCCTGCCTGAGTTAGAATTCAGGCTTCTTTTATACTAAAAGAGGAGGGAGTAAAGTCAAACATTTCCGGGTTCCTGTCAGCCTCCTGAGGGGATGTGTTAATTTCTTCCTCCTTGCAGTCATTCACAGGTGGGCCTGTCAGGATGTTTCCTGTGAGCTAAACAAAGGTATTTTAGCTTAATGCTCTTTACCTGGGAGGCAGGGTTCCCCGAGATGTGCCATTACATCTAATTGAAGCTAACAGGCAACATCCATTTAGTGATTAACTTGTAATAGAATACAAAGGTTCTTCCCTATTACAAAACCAATCCTCTGAGATGATTTTATCCTTCAACCTGAAGGAAACTGCCTCATTAATTGGCTTACTTGAAGCCACACCCTACCCCATTCCCCAATATTTCTCTACTGGAAAAATGCTGAAAATACATTAAATGGTTAAAAAAAATAAAGTCTATTTTCATATACAAAGAAGTAAAAGCGATTCCTTCCAATGCTCCAATTTCACCATACCAAAGTCTACCAGTTTGGTGTGTATATTTTCATACTTTTTTGTTCTTTCTTTTTCAATTTTATTAATCTTGCATAACTGAGATTTTATGACTCTTGATTAGCAACTTCCCATCCTACCCGCCCCAGCTCCTAACAACCACCCTTCTTTCAGATTCTGTGCACTTGACTATTTTGGATACTTCATATAAGTAGAATATCCAGTATTTGTCCTTTTGTGACTGGCTTATTTCATTTAGTATAATGTCCTCAAGGCCCATGTTGTCATGCATGGCGGGATTTCCTTCTTTTTAAAAGCTGAATAATTCCATTGTTTATTTTATTATTGTGCTGTATAGAAATATTTAATTTTTAGTTATTTTAGCTTCATTTTTTCCTTAGTGGTGGCTAAACTCCAAAGCATGCTTTAAAAAGCCTTCTCTAAGCCTTCCGTTTTAAATTTCTACTAAGTTACCAATTATCTCCTTTTACAATGTGCTTCATCCGTTGGATGCAATAATTGGCCATATGTTTAACAAATATGCTTCTCACTTGTTAAATAGGTGTGGGGTAATCTAGAACAAAAACACATACAAAAATAAAATAATAAGGTGAAAAAAGCAATACAAAGGGAAGTAATATGAGTAGAAATTCATGACTAGAATGGGGAAAATACACACACACACACACACATCTGGAATACACATTGGTGTAAACTGTTAGGCAGAGATCCAACTTTTTTTTTTTCCCAGATGGCTACCCCTACTTGTCCTAAACCGTTTGTTGGATAATCTATCTTTTCCACACTGATATGAAATGACAGACATATTTTTTAAAACCAGGCTTTCAAGCAAGATATTTTTCAGATTATGTCCCTATCTAATCCACTGCCTTCACCAATGAACAAGCCCTCACTATATAAATATATATATGTATATCAATGAATAAGCACTCACTATATATATTTATATATATATATACATATTTTTTATCTGCACCACATGACTTGTGGGATCTTCCCCGACCAGGGATTAACCTGGGCCACTGGAATGAAAGCACTGAGTCCTAACCATTGGACCACCAGGGAACTCCCAGCCCTCGCTGTATCCTTAAGTTTCCTCTTTTCTGTGTGTTCCAACCTTAATTGCATGTTGGTGACAGTTGTGACTGTGGACCTCTTGGGGATCCTTACTGTCACCTCCATAGGAGGAGACAGGCCAGAGAAAAAGCTATTTGAGTTGCTGATCTCAGAAATCACTTCTGGCAGTACAGTACCCGAGGGTTGGTGTAATGTATTCTGGGGAGGCCCACTCTATAAACGTCCTCATCTGTGAATTAAGCCTAATCAATGTGTTCAGAGAGAAGGTGAAGAAAATGTCTGCATTCCCAATAGTGAGTGTAGCCAGTGAATTCAGATGCTTGTCACATGATCACGCCATAATGATAGCTCTCTAATTTCGTTCTGAAAGCACTTGAGCCATATTCGTTTCATTGACATAACTAGAAATTTTCACCCACTCACAAGACAACAAGTGAGATGCAGTGTACTGTTGACAGAAGAGAATGACAGGAGGTAGGAGACCCAGCTTCCTAGCCCTGGCCTGACTCAGAGTAAGTATTCAGGGAACCAACTCAATTTATTTGTCTTAGTTTCTTCATCATCTTTAGCAGGTAGTTGGATTATATGATCTCTTGGTTTCCAGTTAGATAAAAGACTGTGATTCTACAACAATATGGTTCCCCTCATTGTTCATTTAAAACTTATTTACAGACAAATTGAGCCCTTGCTACGTGCAAAAGAATCCCTCTAGTCAGCAATGAATAAGATGTGGTTATTGTGTTGAGTTTATGAAAGGAGTTTATTTGGAAGAGGGAAGTGGGATGGAACGGATCAGTGTGACTTGAACTTAGAACATGCCAGTCTCCCCATTCCAAATTGGAATACAGGCTCTGTGATGTACCATAACTCTATGGTAGGGCTTATTCTAATGATTCTGGTCAATGTTAAAGATTCCTGAGTTTGTGTGTGAATAACACACTGAATGTAGGTGGTAATTCATAAATCCTTTTTCCAGAGATGGCAGTTCATGTTAGTGTAGTTTTTTGGTTTTGTGTGTGTGTGTGAGTGTGTGTGAGTGTGTGTGTATGTGTGTGTGTGTTTTGCAAGACCCTTACTTGAGACTAACTCCTAACAATATTTTGAAGCCCCTGGTTACTAGCGTGGAAGCAATCTGAACAGTAGAGATTTCATGACCCCAAACTGATGCTACCACTCCTCCTATTTAAGCTAGTATAACTCTTTGCTCTAGTTCTTCCTTTTCCTAGCAAAAAATCTCATCCCACTCATTCACAAAGAATGTATGATTAAAACATTAATGACTTCAGAAAAATGAGTTTTGACTAGAAGGAAGGAAGGTGGAGGAAGAACTATTTCGGGCTAGAAAATTCCTTTTTGAACAAAAGTTCAAGGTAAGGAAACACTCAACATCCTGCTGGAGATGAGTGGGAAAGAAGAATCAGTTGGAACCATGAAAGTCAGAAAGGAATTAATGTAATAACACAGGTAATGGAGAACCATAGAAGGTTGCCAAGCTGGAGAGTGACAGGAGAAAAATAGAAATAAGGTATGAACTTAATGGGAGGACAGAACTGTTTAGACTCTGAGCTTTTAAGCTTTTAAGATTCCACTTCGTGGCATGCAGTGAGTGGAGGATGGGCCATGGCAAGAAGGGACTCATGAGCATAAGACAGCAAATTTATAGGATTTGGCACTAATCTCAGAGGTCATTGCACACGGTTTGCATACTATATATTTATTTTTTCATCAGTCTAAAAATAATGTCTACACATTTAATTTCTGTCCAGTAAGAAGTGATAAGAGGTTTAAGAAGGCCTAGTTTAAACATTTTCAAAGAATGAAAATAAGTGAGCAAAATTATATTTATCCTAAAATATGTCTTTCCATCCACTCCATAATGTAATGGCTCCTTGAGGCAACTTCCAACAACAATGATGTTTTTGATGCTTTCTATGGTAGCAGAGAGGTAAGTATCACGGTCTGCAGGGCAGAGCAATAAATATAACTAGTAATTCATTGTACATTGAAAGTCAGGGAATACTTCATTGGAATTATTCTCATTTTGGGGGATGAATAAAATTAAATCAAAGGACACAGTACCGGGCTTCCCTGGTGGCACTGTGGTTGAGAGTCCGCCTGCCGACTCTCAGGGGACACGGGTTTGTGCCCCGGTCCGTGAGCCATGGCCGCTGAGCCTGCACATCCGGAGCCTGTGCTCTGCAACGGGAGAGGCCACAACAGTGAGAGGCCCGCGTACTGCAAAAAAAAAAAAAAAAAAAAGGACACAGTACCTGATAAAGGAGCACAAAGTTTGTAGGCTTTGGCCAAAGAAAGAAAATGGCCTAATGAGTGAAGAAATATATATTATAGTTTTCTTCCTTCAGTTTCTCAACTAGATTCCATCAGTGGAGTTTTCTAAAAGATTTGGAGGAGATTCCAATTCAGATATTATCAGAGATCATCATAATTTAAATCTCTGTACTGGCTTACACCAAATTACCCAAACCTCCAGCGTAAAACCAATGTGTTTCAACGGTTTCATGGTGTTATTCATATACAGTAACCGACTCTTGAAATGACAACTGTTGGGAGCAAGTGTCCTCAGTATCCAGCACGTGGCTTGCTTGTACAATGAGATTCCTCAAAAGTTTGGGGTTGATGATGAACCCAGTATGCAGAGGTTCCACATTAAGTCATAATTGGCTTTGTGTCAACTGGTGAAATCAGTCACAGAGGAGAATAAGAATTTCATGTAATAACACCATAGCAACTGATTACCCACTTGTTACTCAAAACAATAGACTCTCAGGGAGGATTTTCTAATCCCAGAATAAAGGCGTGACCTTGCTCTGATGTCCTTTGAGAAAATGTCTACAGCAGATTTGATGGAGAATCTCAGGGAGGAACTGACCTGTTTCATCTGCTTGGACTATTTCACCAGCCCAGTGACCACTTAGTGTGAGCACAGCTTTTGTGGTGTGTCTCCTGAGAAGCTGGGAGGACCTTGGAGATAACACTCCTTTATCTTGTCCTGAGTGCTGGAGGACCTTGGAGATCCCACATTTCCAGCCCAATGAGCATATGGGGAGGCTGGCTGGCATCGGCAAGCAGCTCAGATCCCAGGTGCTGCGGAGTGAGGTCAACCAAGGCAGCTATGAGAGAATGCTAGCTGCCACTAAGGTGTTGTGTGATGATGAGCAGGGTGTAAAGGATTTCTCAACCCAAGGTCATGGAATAAACAGAATGAATCTCTCGAATGAGGCTGAGGAGCAATCATAAAGTAAGATTGGCTGCTTGATATAAATTTCAGAACACAAATCAGGTTCCATCGCTTAATTCCCATAATATTTTCTATGGGTGACATTCATGGGTGCTAATCTCCAGGCACCAGACCACAAATTTGGTGTGGGTTCTGCTTCACCCTTTGATCTAGAGTCTCAGTCATCTTGTTACTCGTCCTCAAGACCCCTTCATGACCTGGTGCTCTGCTCATTTGCCACAGAGTTTGTTTCTATTGCAGGAGAAGCTCCAGGAAATCCTAAATATTTTGCGTAAAAAGAAAAATGAAACTCAGGTTATATTAACCCATGAGAAGGAGAGAGTGATATTGTGTAAGGTCAGTATCTGGTTCACTTTTGCATCTTGTATGTGATTCTATGAGGAGGACTAAAGGGACATGTCGTGAAATACCAAGAGGAAAATGACAAAATTTTCCAGTCCCAGTCCTATAACATGCAATATCCTTGCTTTGGGCTGCCCACCTCTGCTTGTCCATCTGGGAATCTCAAGACTCATCTCAAATTCTCCCATCCCCAGGCTGGATTGTTTCTCCCTTCTTGGTGTACCTATACCACATGGTGGCTATCTTTATTTCTGCTCTGATTATAATTATTAAATATACAAGTTAAAGACATATAACATAGAATGGAAGTTGACAGAAAAAGGAATATCTCAAATCCTTTGGGGGGAAAAGGGCAGATAAAAAAGAAATAAACAGAAAGGGAAATTAAAGCAAAATAGTAGTGTGAATTAGAACACCTGAACAAAAGCTTGAGGTTAGTCACAGATCAGAATTTGAGCTGTCTAGCAAAGCACAGAATTAAATGTTTTGTTAAATATTTAAAAAAATAAGCATGTTTCTGATTATTCCAATAATCTTTGAGTTCTTACATGGGAGTATTTGTGATGATCATTTCTAGTCCTAGTATGTGATCCATTGCCTACTTCATTGAATAAATATTTGTTGAATAAATGAATGCATGTTTCTTCCCCTATTTTTTTTAAAGAACTAAGCAGTTCCCCTATTTATTTATTATTTATTTATTTATTTAAAAAAGTTTTATTTCTTTGATTGCACTGGGTCTTAATTGAGGCACGTGTGCTCCTTAGTTGCAGCCAGTGGGCTCCTTAGTTGCAGCTCTCAGTCTCCTTAGTTGTGGCATGCAAACTCTTAGCTGCAGCATGCATGTGGGATCTAGTTCCCTGATGAGGGATCGAACCTGTGCCCCCTGCATTGGGAGCGTGAAGTCTTAAGCGCTGCGCCACCAGGGAAGTCCCTTCCCTAATTTTTTTCCTTACTTTATTTTGCTTTACTTTTTTTTTTTTTTTTTGTTGTACGCAGACCTCTCACTGTTGTGGCCTCTCCCGTCGCGGAGTACAGGCTCCAGATGCGCAGGCTCAGTGGCCATGGCTCATGGGCCTAGCCGCTCCGCGTCATTTGGGATCTTCCCAGACCGGGGCAGGAACCCGCGTCCCTGGCATCGGCAGGCAGTCTCCCAACCACTGTGCCACCAGGGAAGCCCTATTTTGCTTTACTTTTTAAAAATAATGGTACTGATCACCATCTATTATATTTTTACTTGACTGTTTACTTTTCATTGTTCCCAGTAGAATGACAGCCTCCTAGGAGTAGAAAGTTTGGTTTTCTTTGCTATTATAGCTACAGTACACACATCTTCTAAAATATCAAACTATCCACCCAGCTAGTCAATAGACTGTATGTGTTATGCGTCAGGTTTCAAGAATTGTCACAATGGAACTCTTGAACTTTGTAAGGATTAAAAATCTACATAAGTGTTTCTGTTACTAACTTTATTATATTGTTCGTGTGTGTGTGTGTGTGTGTACACACGCGTGATGGCAGGAAGAGACAAGGACCTGTAAACAGGTTATTGTGTCAGAATATGCAAAAATGCACCAGTTCCTGAAGGAGGAGTTTTTTTTTTTTTTTTTTTTTTTTTTTTTTTTTGTGGTACGCAGACCTCTCACTGTTGTGGCCTCTCCCGTCGCGGAGTACAGGCTCCAGATGCGCAGGCTCAGTGGCCATGGCTCATGGGCCTAGCCGCTCCGCGTCATTTGGGATCTTCCCAGACCGGGGCAGGAACCCGCGTCCCTGGCATCGGCAGGCAGTCTCCCAACCACTGTGCCACCAGGGAAGCCCTATTTTGCTTTACTTTTTAAAAATAATGGTACTGATCACCATCTATTATATTTTTACTTGACTGTTTACTTTTCATTGTTCCCAGTAGAATGACAGCCTCCTAGGAGTAGAAAGTTTGGTTTTCTTTGCTATTATAGCTACAGTACACACATCTTCTAAAATATCAAACTATCCACCCAGCTAGTCAATAGACTGTATGTGTTATGCGTCAGGTTTCAAGAATTGTCACAATGGAACTCTTGAACTTTGTAAGGATTAAAAATCTACATAAGTGTTTCTGTTACTAACTTTATTATATTGTTCGTGTGTGTGTGTGTGTGTGTACACACGCGTGATGGCAGGAAGAGACAAGGACCTGTAAACAGGTTATTGTGTCAGAATATGCAAAAATGCACCAGTTCCTGAAGGAGGAGGAGCAGCTGCAGCTCCAGCTACTGGAAACGGAGGAAAGAGAGAACCTGAGGAGACTGAAGGACCATGAGATCAAGCTGACCCAGCGAATTCGAAGCCTGAGCAAAACAATTGGACAGATAGAGTCCATGTGTCAGAACTCGATCATAGAGTCATTTGAGGTAAGAATATTGGAGAAATTCATGGAAGAAAACACATGTAGTCCCCTATCATATTTCAAGTCATACAAAATAAACTTTTCCTTATTTACCTGAAAAATTAAGTTCTGGCCCCCAAAAAAGTTTTCCTACAGAATGAGTGTTCTATATAGTATAAATAAAGTCTTGAAGAGGAGGAAAAACACAAAGGAATATACATCCGAACTAAGTCAAATGATGAGTCCAATTTTTTTTTGCGCCTGCCTTGCTGCAACCTCAGCTTTGGCAAATAAAAAATTTAAGTTTAGTGAACATTTACTAGGTGTTGGGCACATTAAATTACATCCTCAAAAAGACCTGATAAAGTTAAATACTATTATGATATTTACAACAGGTGACTGTTATCTACAAAATGTGTTAATAGTAGCAATTGTTTAATAATTCAGACCTATGGCAGTTAGATAGTTTGCCTGTCAAATAGCTAGTAGGTGATAGAACCCAGGTATTCTGTGTATACTGAGCCTCAAATCCTCACCATCTTTGCTCTACTGCCTTCCTAGGCTACTACTGCATTCTCTGGGACCTTCTTAAACTAAGCTATGTTCCAGTTTCCAGTCTCTAGCTTCATGTCTCTTTCCTAGACTGGCTCCACAGAATGCTATTTAATTTGGTGCCTTCCCAACAACCCAGTCCAACTGTACACAGGTGTAGTTTCAGCTCTCACTGGGCTACTTTCATTTCTTATCTCTACCTCCTGGAGGCATTGGATAATGAAGCCAATAGTTTGGCTCCTTTCTCAGCAATATATTCTCTAAACAAAGTGACAATATGAGAAAAAGAGATCTCTAGTCATTGGGAGAACCATCTCGCGTTCAAAAGAGCTCACCCCTAGAAGAAGTTTGGGGTTTTTTCCACCATATGCTCTCCCACTCAAGGTGTTCTAGAGCCACGGGAAGGGGATTCTGTGAAATTTGCAAAGGACTGTATCCAAAACGGATTCAGTCTTTGCTAGTGATCAAAGTGCACAAAAACTAACCTTCTTTCTTTTATACCCTTAGGATGTAAGAGGAATACTGGAAAGGTAGGTTTCAATTCTGTGTTCAGTTATTGGGGTGTGGTGTTGATGCAATAGGTTATCAGAGTGTGGATGAGAGTGTCCATGCTGTTGGGGCAAAATGAACTGGATTCTCAAGTTGGAGCAGGTCATGCGGTCTGCTCAGAGGAGACTGAGTGACTCTCTGCCCTCCTGTAGGAGTGAGCCACTCTTGCTTCAGTGTCCAGAGGCCATCACCATGGAACTGACTCTATGCCACATCACTGGAATGAGGGAGATGCTAAGAGAATTTAGCAGTAAGTCAGCCTGATATTTTGAACCTCCAGGGGTTTTCAGAGTTAATGGGGGCCACAGACCATCCCTGCCGGAACAGACAGAAGCAGCGGACTTGACTGATGTTTTATCTGGTTTTGTTTTCTGTCTGAGTTCTGCTCTTACCTTTGTTTTCATTGTTGTTTTGTTCATCCCATTGCCTTGCACATGTACACATACACATACCTCCTCAGGGGTTTCTACATTTCTACCTTTGTTCTTGTCAGGATAAAAGCTGATTTAATCTCTTAAATCTCAGTGAGGGAACATTCAAAGAATGTTCTTTTAAAATGCTCTAAATATTTAGGCTGGCTAACATCTAGAGAGGTCAGCATTAGTTTTCACCTTTTATCTTGTTGACAATCTGACCTTCAGAAGAAGGCCTAATAGACTTTGGACTCAACATATATATGAGAAGTGCCTACTATGTGCTATAGTAGGTACTGTGCTATCAGTCTCTGAGTGTATTTACGATGATGAATAAGACAGACTTGGCTTTGCTTCTGTAGAACTTACAGTGAGATTGAGGAGAATGATATTAAACAGAGAATTAGTGATTGGGATTTGATCTGTAAATAAAAGTATGAAATGGTATGATGGGGTGCCTAATCTTGTCTGGATAATCAATGAAAGTTCCTTCCAGGAGTCTGGGAGAGGAGCTCTCTCAGTGGTTCAAAATGTGTTTCATCAAATGGTCACTGGTGGTTGCACTGACTCATAAGAAGTTGCACTTAAGCATGACATAATGAAAAATGCTGATTGGCAGCTGCTATTCAAACACTCAGTAACTTTGTCATCTTGGCCCCGTTTCCTAACCTTTATGAGCCTCAGTTTTTTCTTTTATGAAAATGGAAAAAAGATAATAATACTCGCCATAATTAAATGAGATAATGTACAGAAAATGCCTGGCACCTAGGTAGAAGTTCAGTAAGTGATAACTATATTTCTCTCCCACCCCAGCTGAAGAACCATAACCAACCTTGGCTAAAGCAAATACAAATGCCAAAAGATATGACCTGTGTGGATAAATAGCTCCTACTTCTAAAACTGTCTTATAAACAGAACTACCTCCATTCCATTATCAGAGATCCAATATCACTCTTGACATGACTCTCTTTGGTTTCCTTTTAGAGATTCACTCTCTTGTGTTTTGTAAAACACTAAAAGGGGCTCTGAGACACTACCCACCACATTCACCTAAATTAAGTTTTAAAAAATAGGACTAGATACTAAGACCTTAATTTCAATTCCACATACATAAGAGGGTTTTCTAGAATGCAAATGAGGATTCATTCTTTTTCCCTCTTGCAGCGGATGTAACTCTAGATCCAGCCACAGCCAATGCCTATCTTGTCTTGTCTGAGGATCTGAAAAGTGTGAAACATGGAGGAACCCGACAGCAGTTGCCTGACAACCCCGAAAGATTTGACCAATCTGCAATGGTGCTGGACGCTCAGATCTTCACCTGCGGGAGACACTGCTGGGAGGTGGAAGTGGGCAACAAGACTGAGTGGGAGGTAGGCATCTGCAAGGACTCAGTGAGCAGAAAGGGGAATCTCCCCAAGTCTCCAGGGGACCTCTTCTCACAGGTTTAAAAATTGGGGATGATTATAGTCTTTGGGTCTCATCACCTTTGAAAGGCCAACATGTTAGAGAGCCAGTGCATAAGGTTGGTGTTTTCTTAGACTATGAGTCCGGGCACACAGCATTCTACAATGTGAGAGACGAGTCCCTTATCTACAGTTTCCCTCCAGCCTCTTTCCAAGAGGCTCTCAGGTCCATCTTCTCCCCTTGTTTCCCAAATGAAGGGACAAACACAGGCCCTCTTACCATCTGCTCACTGAATAACCATGTCTGAGGGAGGCTCCCTCAGCCTTCTCTGAGAATGAGGTCTAAGAGCAACAGGTGACTATTAATTAGGATGATTAATGCATTGACAGTATTAGCATCAGGTGATCTGAAGGGAAAGCCCACCCCCAACCCCCAAGAATTTCCATTAACTTGAGCCCCCAATGAACAGCCAAATTGGACAATCAACTTCTAATAACAATAGGAGAAAGCTGATCATATCCTGTGTCTTTAACCAAATTCATTATCTAGACTGCCCCCTGTATGTGCTGATCACTGAAAATGGAGAGATAGAACTAGTTCCTATAGACCAGAATCCCATTGTCATAGGCCAGTTTTATAAATATATGTCATTTTTTTTCAAGTGTATTTATTTATTTGACTCTAACAAACTTTACTATTTGCATGTGTCTTTGTCCTACGTGCAAAGCTCTGTGTGCCGGGGCAATCCCAGCTCCTCCAGGAGACTGGAGGTATGGGTTCTCCTTTTCACTCATGACTCAGCCTCCTCTGAAAAGTCGATTTTCTTCCCATCCCTTGGGGCCTGGAGTATTTGTACTCAGGAAGACTTATGTGTTCAGACACTACAAAGATATGTGTGAATATCATCGTGGCATTCGTGTTACCGTATTCACAATAGGATGGAACCTTTTGTTGTTTGTTAATATGTTCAAAGATGACAGAGCAAAGTCCCTAGCCAATAAATGTATCAAGGCTGTGGATGCCCAGTGACTTTTTGAGTTTCATATAAGGTTATTTTCTGAGCTTTTGCTATTTGCTTTGAGCAGAAGCCTTTTCATCTCTGCAAGACCAAATCAAGCCTACTCTTTATCCCAACATGCCAGGGTTTAGGAAGGGGGTAGTGACTGAGCGAAGATGCTTCTTTCGGCTGGTCTTACTCAGGCTCCCCATTCTTAGTGCTCTGTCCTTACAGGGTTTTTTTTCTTTCTTTAATTTCTTCCTTCTTGCTCTCATTTGCAGGATGTCACCAGTCACAGAGGGCACCCCTTCCCCTCCTCTTCCTACTCAGATAAGTTAGTCAGTATTTTCAGTCTCTGACAAGAAAACTGATGGATTTAACCCATGCGTGACTGCAAAATTATTAAGAAAAAATTGATCACAGGTTTTAGTTTGTAAATTAGAGAGTAAGTGAGGAAAAGTTGATAACTGAACCTCTTAATCAGCATAGAAAATCATAGGAGGTCAGTAACTAGATTTACTTTAGGGTTTCTGTTCACCCTTCTCATTAATCTAGATCTGCTTTGTCTTTCAACCTTATACATCTTAATCTTGTGCCCTCAAAGGTAGGGAGCAGACATGAACTAGACTTTAAATCCCAGATAATGCCCTCTTCTGTTCTTTGAGTTCCCTACTTGCATTTTCACCCTGACATCACATATACTCAGAGAATTGTGGAGGAGGTTAGCCAATCACATCCTTTTCAGATAATTTGTGGCTGCTTCCCATTTTTCATTTTACTAAATTTTATTTCTTGATTTATCATCTCAAAAAGCTAAGAAGTAAATTATAAATAGCAAACACCAAGCATATTTGAATATATTATCAATTACAAAAAATTGAATTTTTAAAAAATTTGATAAATGAATATAAAATTAATACATTTTAATTTAGTGTACATTACATTTAATTGTAGTATAATCCTGGTGATAGCCCTTATATTTATTTATTTATTTATTTATTTATTTATTTATTTATTTATTCTCTTTGTCCCAGAGGGGTCAGTATTGCCAAGGAAACCAGCATATTTTTTCCCTCTGGGAAAGTCATCCTGAGTGGATCTTGGCTGCATGATTATCTACACTGGGACTGCCACTGATTGAGTGTGGAGGGAAGATTAAATCTATATTATTCTTACTCTTCTGGGTTTGCATAAATAACTATGTAAAAGGTGCAAGAAAATTTTCACCCAGGGTTCCTAGATACAAATTCCAAGCCAAGCAGACGTGGTGGTAAGGATGGGAGCAAGAGTGGCCAGAATGAAAAATTAAAAGAAGTGCTCCCTTGCTTGGCAAATGCATCCCCTTGCAGTGTTCAAGGGTGTGGGTCTCACTGCCTCAGACAGAACATTTGACAAAGACATTTCCTTCAACATGAATGGCGTCCCACAAGGAACCTGCTAACCATCACTCAAGCTATCCCTTTTATCCCCCCATTAACTCCCCCTCTCCTTCCCAAATCTCTCTCTTCCACCCTTTCCTGAATGGACAATTTCCCCAGGAGATAGCAAGTCACTGGTGGCCTCTTGTAGTGAACATTACCAAATGGAATCCAGAATCATTGCCATTTCCTTCCCAACCTCTCCACAACTGGCTGGAGGAGAGGGGACAGTCTGGTCTTGAGGTTGGAGGACATCATATAGGATTCCATGCAGGACTGCAGTTTGATTACCTTTAAAATTTTTTCTTTGTTTTCCTTAGAGTACCTTAAAAATAAAATATACATATCTTGCCCTGAAATCTGATTTACCAATAAAACTCTATTCTTCAAATCAGGTCTTTATCGACCCTCCTGCTCTAGTTATCCCTCCCCCTCCCATGACATAATTTTGACCTGTTATTCTTTGAGCTTATTGGTACCTTATCTTACTTTGGATTACTTTACAAGGCCCTCCTACACTAATTTAACTCAATGACGTGCCCAATCAGCCTCTCTCTAGTCTTAGATTTCTCCCTGTGCTTATACCTTGGAGGAGTGGGAACAAAATATAATAGGTCACAGTAGGAAAAAAGAAAAATGTGGAAATGTACAAAAAATAAAATAAAAGTTGGATGTAATCTCACTATACAGATAACCAATGTTATGTTTTGGTGTGTATCTTTCTAATTTTTTTTCTATGTATATTTTAAGCAAAATGAAAATTAATTACCTTAAATTATATATATTGTGAACTTCCTTCTCATCATTAGATATTTCTTGAAAATACAGCTTTTTTATCTTTAAATATATACGTATCTTCTAAGAATTAGTACATTTTGTTAAATTACATTTATTATATAAAAAAATATATTCAGGGCTTCCCTGGTGGCGCAGGGGTTGAGAGTCCGCCTGCCGATGCAGGGGATGCGGGTTCGTGCCCCGGTCCGGGGAGATCCCACATGCCGCGGAGTGGCTAGGCCCGTGAGCCATGGCCGCTGAGCCTGCGCGTCCGGAGCCTGTTCTCCGCAATGGGAGAGGCCACAACAGTGAGAGACCCGCGTACCGCAAAAAAAAAAAAAAAAAAGTATATATATACATACATACATTCAATAAATATTATTTAATGATATCTAATAAATAGTCTAATTAAAGAATTCCCAATTAGTCTTGTAATGTTCTTTATAGCTTGTTTCTCCATCTTCCAGCATCCAGAAATAATATAGGATCGTGTATTAAAAGTAATTGTTTTGGAAAATATAATTCCTAATGGGAGTAATATTTTATCATATGAGTGTCCCTAATTTACTTAATAATTCCCCTACTGTGGGACATTTTAGATTGTTTTCCATTTGTAGTTATTATAAACAACATTGTGATGAATGTACATGTACATAAACCTCTGGGTACATTGCTAATTATTCCCCAAGTATCTCTCTGCAGGTGGGAAAGCTGCCTGTGGATCCTGCGGGCACATGTCTGAAGGTCATACATCCTGCTACAAAAGTTTAATGTGTACTACAGGGAGTCCAGGATGTCTTACTCACTGGCATTTCCACACTGAAGTTGCAGACACACAGCTTTAAGACAAGTGAACATGTTTTCCTCTGCCCTATGGTCTTGCCAGAAGCACTGTATGTATGCCAAAAAAACCCAATCCTGGGAGGAATTGGGGAACAGTGCTTGGGCTTTGAAATCAGGCAGCCCGTGGCTGGAGCACTGAACTTCACCACAAAGTAATGTTTCAACTTCTGCAAGTTGTTGTAACTCTCATAGCCTTACTTTTCCTCTTCTCAAAAATTTGGGAAATACCACTCATTGTGATAATTAGGTGAGAACACCGAGAAACAAATAATCCATGGTGCATGACGAATTTTTGTCAGCCTCACCCCTGTCCCTTTAGAGACTCCATTTTGTAATTTGTCAGAAGGCGACAGAAAAGCCATAGCATGCTTGTGTGGAATATGGAAAACACTGGCACCAAAATCTCTGAAATACTTCCAAGGTAGGTGTTACTATTTAAGGGGGAAAAGTATTAACACAAAATTCAGTTGGAGAAAAAAACAAAACAAAACCCTATGGATCATTTTGTTATCATTCATGGAAATCCTTTTGCTCTTCACACTTGTGAGCATCTCATTACCCAATTAAAAAATTACTATAATAAATAGGAGATAAATAAAAATAAAAACTATTATAAAGTGGTAATCACACTCTCATTCCTCCAAACCTGACAATCTCACACCTTTGCTCTGGGCTCCTAGGACACGGTATGAACATTCCTATCATTAGCTCTGCTAGCACTTGAAGTACTGAACCTAGAGGAATGAGCGATGTAGCCTTATTCAACCACGGCGCCTCGTTCAGTGGTACTCAAAGGCTTAGAGGCCCCCTAAAATCTTGATCCTATTAGCCTCTGGCTGGGACTTAGGGTGGTCACCACCAGCTGTGAACCTGATGACATATTTAAGATCATTTAAAAATCAAATTGTAGCAACCTCGGTTTAGGCATCCAAAATGGAGCCAGGTGGCCACGTGGATGTGGTTCACACACTTTCCTGCATCGCTGAGAACTTGAATCTTCTCAACTGTATCAAAGAACACCACCAGCCATTTTTAAAACAAAATCTGCTAGCAGCTGCCAGCTGCAGCCTTGTAGTTTCAAAGTCCCCCGCTCCCAACTAATCATTTGGAACCTCAACCAATCCTGCTAAACAAGCACCCTTACTTCTTGCCAGCTCCAATTTTAATTCTTTTTTTTTTTAAATAAATTTATTTATTTATTTTTGGCTGCGTTGGGTCTTCGTTGTTGCGCACGGGCTTTTCTCTAGTTGTGGTGAGTGGGGGCTGCTCTTC